GACGAGTGATGAGCATTAGTGACGAGTGATGAGCACGAGTGATGAGCACGAGTGACGAGTGATGAGCACGAGTGATGAGCACGAGTGATGAGTGATGAGTGATGAGTGATGAGTGATGAGCACGAGTGATGAGCACGAGTGATGAGCACGAGTGATGAGTGATGAGTGATGAGCACGAGTGATGAGTGACGAGTGACGAGCGTGAGTGACGAGTGATGAGTGATGAGCACGAGTGATGAGTGATGAGTGATGAGCACGAGTGATGAGTGATGAGCATTAGTGATGAGTGATGAGTGACGAGTGATGAGCACGAGTGACTAGTGATGAGTGACGAGTGATGAGCACGAGTGACTAGTGATGAGTGACGAGTGATGAGCACGAGTGACTAGTGATGAGTGACGAGTGATGAGCACGAGTGACTAGTGATGAGTGATGAGCATGAGTGACTAGTGATGAGTGACGAGTGACGAGTGATGAGCACGAGTGACTAGTGATGAGTGACGAGTGATGAGCATGAGTGACGAGTGATGAGCACGAGTGATGAGTGATGAGCACGAGTGACTAGTGATGAGTGACGAGTGATGAGCACGAGTGATGAGTGATGAGCATGAGTGACGAGTGATGAGCATTAGTGATGAGTGATGAGTGACGAGTGATGAGCACGAGTGACTAGTGATGAGTGACGAGTGATGAGCACGAGTGACTAGTGATGAGTGATGAGCATGAGTGACTAGTGATGAGTGACGAGTGACGAGTGATGAGCACGAGTGACTAGTGATGAGTGACGAGTGATGAGCATGAGTGACGAGTGATGAGCACGAGTGATGAGTGATGAGCACGAGTGATGAGTGATGAGCACGAGTGACTAGTGATGAGTGACGAGTGATGAGCACGAGTGACGAGTGATGAGCACGAGTGACGAGTGATGAGTGATGAGCACGAGTGACGAGTGATGAGTGATGAGCACGAGTGACGAGTGATGAGTGACGAGTGATGAGCACGAGTGACGAGTGATGAGTGATGAGTGACGAGTGACGAGTGATGAGCACGAGTGACGAGTGATGAGTGATGAGTGACGAGTGACGAGTGATGAGCATTAGTGACGAGTGACGAGTGATGAGCACGAGTGACGAGTGATGAGTGATGAGTGACGAGTGACGAGTGATGAGCACGAGTGACGAGTGATGAGTGACGAGTGATGAGCACGAGTGACGAGTGATGAGCACGAGTGATGAGTGATGAGCACGAGTGACGAGTGATGAGTGACGAGTGATGAGCACGAGTGACGAGTGATGAGCACGAGTGACGAGTGATGAGTGATGAGTGACGAGTGACGAGTGATGAGCACGAGTGACGAGTGATGAGCACGAGTGACGAGTGACGAGTGATGAGTGATGAGCATGAGTGACGAGTGATGAGCACGAGTGACGAGTGACGAGTGACGAGGATGAGCATGAGTGACGAGTGATGAGTGACGAGTGATGAGTGATGAGCATGAGTGACGAGTGATGAGCACGAGTGACGAGTGACGAGTGACGAGGATGAGCATGAGTGACGAGTGATGAGTGACGAGTGATGAGCATGAGTGACGAGTGACGAGTGATGAGTGATGAGCATGAGTGACGAGTGATGAGCACGAGTGACGAGTGACGAGTGACGAGGATGAGCATGAGTGACGAGTGATGAGCACGAGTGACGAGTGATGAGTGACGAGTGATGAGCACGAGTGACGAGTGATGAGCACGAGTGACGAGTGACGAGTGACGAGGATGAGCATGAGTGACGAGTGACGAGCATTAGTGACGAGTGATGAGTGATGAGCACGAGTGACTAGTGATGAGTGACGAGTGACGAGTGATGAGCACGAGTGACTAGTGATGAGTGACGAGTGATGAGTGATGAGCACGAGGCATGAGTGATGAGTGATGAGCATGAGTGATGAGTGACGAGTGATGAGCATTAGTGATGAGTGATGAGCACGAGTGACTAGTGATGAGTGACGAGTGACGAGTGATGAGCACGAGTGACTAGTGATGAGTGACGAGTGATGAGTGATGAGCACGAGGCATGAGTGATGAGTGATGAGCATGAGTGATGAGTGACGAGTGATGAGCATTAGTGATGAGTGATGAGCACGAGTGACTAGTGATGAGTGACGAGTGACGAGTGATGAGCACGAGTGACTAGTGATGAGTGACGAGTGATGAGCATTAGTGATGAGTGATGAGCACGAGTGACGAGTGATGAGCACGAGTGACGAGTGATGAGCATTAGTGACGAGTGATGAGCATTAGTGACGAGTGATGAGCATTAGTGACGAGTGATGAGCACGAGTGATGAGTGATGAGTGATGAGTGATGAGCACGAGTGACGAGTGATGAGTGACGAGTGATGAGCACGAGTGATGAGTGATGAGCACGAGTGATGAGCACCAGTGACGAGTGATGAGCACGAGTGATGAGCACGAGTGATGAGTGATGAGCATTAGTGATGAGTGATGAGTGATGAGCATTAGTGACGAGTGATGAGCACGAGTGATGAGTGACGAGTGATGAGTGACGAGTGATGAGCACGAGTGATGAGTGATGAGCACGAGTGACGAGTGACGAGTGACGAGGATGAGCATGAGTGACGAGTGATGAGTGACGAGTGATGAGTGATGAGCATTAGTGACGAGTGACGAGTGATGAGCATGAGTGATGTGACGAGTGACGAGTGATGAGTGATGAGTCCACAGCTGAGAGAGAGAGGAGAACTTTATTGATCCCAATGTGCAGCACAACAAGACAAGGCACTGCACATTAGAGAAATGAACATCTCAAATGGAAATGAAGTGGAAGTAACGGAAGGACCTTTATTTATGAATTCAGGCGTTGATAGCAGGTCAGAGTTAAAAACAGGATTCACACGAGGTAAAAGCAAAGTGACTGTTGAAACAAGATATCACAGTAAAAACATTAAATGTGAGCGGTGTCTCCTAACCTCCCTGCTTGCGCTCCAGGTCTGCAGGCGTCCTCCAGCACGCAGGTGAGGGCGGACGAGGGGTCGGCAGCGAAGAGGCCGAGCGGCGAGGAGAGCGAGCAGCCGCTGAGGAAGAAGCAGAAGAAGGCAGCGTTCTGGTGAGGGTCCTGGTGAGGGTCCTGGTGAGGGTCCTGGTTCATCCTGACTGACCGCCAGAGGCACTGGATATATATTTATATCAACAAAGTCACGTGTGACCTCGTATGACCCCGGAAGGCATAAGTTCCGGTGCTGTCAACAAGTTCAGTCCTATTTCATCTTCTCGCTGCGCAGGTTACTACTTTAGAGCCAAGCTAGCTTACTGAATAATTAGATTCTAGCTCATCGCTACCTGTAGCCTTGTGATCGTCTCTATCGGAGCTGCGGGCTAGAACGCTCGCCCTCCAAAGGCTGCGACGAGCTGTCCGCCCTCCCAAGGGAGGGGACCGCGGTGTTCACCGCTCGGACCCCAGGAGCTCCGGACCGGTAAAGAGCGGACGCTCCTGCACGTCAGTCGGTGAGATCTATTCTCAAACTAATAGATCATTGTGTCCAAGTTAGCCGAGTGCTCTCGTTCAAGCTAACTTGTTTCTGCACTAGTGAAGAGTGTCTTCGCTCCCCTCTCACGGCACACAGTTGGTTTATTAATCCACCCATGGCCACGATGTGGTCTCGATGGCAGCTTCAGCTTGAATGAGTATGAGGAGGAGGGCCCGTCCCATCCTCCTGGCTCCTGTACCTCAGCTCATGCATCCTCGGGGGCAGATGACGGCTCCATGGGTACCGTCATTCGCATGGCACTGGCTCGCCAGCAGCTGGATGTACAGCAGCCCGAGACAGCGCCTGCCAGTGCGTTCTTCAGGCGCACTCTGACACTCGCCACCTTTACCGTTCCTCCCTCTTGTGAGTATCTGAGGGAGTTACATGCATGCTGGAGGGACACTAAGACTCTTTCCCGTCTTACGTCCGATGGCCGAGCGCTGGCAGCCATGCAGGATGCGGCAAGATTCGGCCTTGACCACATGCCGGCTGTTGAGCCTACTATTGCTTCCCTCATAGTTTCCCCTGACGAAGCTCTGAGGTCGCAGGCCAGGTGCCCTCGACCCCAATGTCGGGTCACTGATGACCTGCTCACTAAGGCTTACGATGCAGCGGCGCGCATGGGCCGTGTAGGCAATTCCCTCTCTCACCTCATGCTCGCCCTCTCAGCTTCCCTGCAGCAGGAGGCTCTCAGCGCTTCCTCTACCAGCCTCAGTGACGCCTCATTACAGGCGTTCGCTCTGATGTGTAGAGAGCTTGGGCGCCTGATGTCCACTCTCGTCCAGACTCGTCGCCAGGTTTGGCTGGCACAGTCACCCTTATCAGAGGCATGTAGGAGGACTCTCCGTGCTGTCCCAGTGGAGCCGGGGGAGCTGTTCGGTTCAGCGGCCGTATAGCTGCTCGAACGGACTGTCTAAGCTAGTCAGACCAGGCAACAGTTCTCAGCTCTTCGCAGAGACATGAGTTTGTGCACTGTTTTGAAATGCCGCTCCTAAATGACCCTTCTTCGATAAAGTCACGCTCGTCCAAAGTCCAGATGGACTTTGGATTGGAATAGATACAAAAATAATCATCCTCCCACTCGGAGTGAAAATTATATATTTGGGGCTTTTTTGCTTCTGCCATAATTGCGGTCTTGTGTGCGGACTGTCACTCCTGTTGCCACGGACAACGTCAGCTAAATAGTGCCCACTGCCCACCAGCCACGCCCCGACACATGGGGTCACGCCGGCCAATCACAAAGCTTTGATGCGTTCAAGTGCATTATTCTGGCACAGGAAGATTATGTTATAGGACATTAACGATAAAACAGAATATTGTTGTTCTATTTTTAGACACATCTCGCGATCGACTGGTTGGGCGCCCCTGGCCTAGAGGTTCCGCGTCTGCCTCCCGAGGCCACTCCCATCCACCCACCATGGGCCTCAGTGTCCCACGAGGGGGCCGGCCCGCTACCAGCACGGTCCTGTTAACTCCCCCCTAAGGCAGCCTCGGCATCCGGTGCCTAACCGTCGCCCCCCCAGGGCCTCCAGAGGCCGGGGGGCAAGGTACTGAGGGTCTGGGGCCGGCTGTCGGTTATTTCTCCCAGCAGCAGCTCAACTACTGGGTAGCTCAAGCTTCAGACCCCTGGGTGGTTTCCACTTTAACCCAAGGGTACAAGCTTCAGTTCCGACGCCGCCCCCCAGTCTTCAGCCGGGTCAAAATGACCACCATAAACGACCCGGCAAAAGAAATCGCCCTAAACCAGGAGCTGTCAGTCCTCCTTGCCAAGGGTGCAATCGAGCCTGTGGACCCCATCTCACAGCCGGCTGCTACTCGACCTACTTCCTGATAAGGAAGAAAGGCGGTGGACTTCGCCCAATCCTCGATCTGAGGGGACTCAACAAGTTCCTGAAGATCTTACCTTTCTATATGCTGAGCACAGCGGACGTTCTTCGTACCGTTGCCAGGGGGGAATGGTTCACGTCCATCGACTTGAAGGACGCTTATTTTCATGTGCCTATTGTGCCTCATCACAGGCAGTTTCTTCGCTTTCCCTTCAGAGGCCGTCATTTCCAGTTCAGGGTGCTTCCATTCGGACTCTCCCTCTCCCCAAGGGTGTTCACCAGGTGTGTCGCGGCAGCTCTCTCGCCCCTGCAGTCTCGGGGTATGAAGATTCTGCCATACTTAGACGACTGGTTGATCTGTGCACCATCCCGGTTGCAGTCGACCCAGGACACGGCTCTCCTTCTCTCTCATGTCGCCCGGCTAGGCCTCAGGGTGAACATGGAGAAGAGTTGTCTGAACCCCTCTCAGAGCCTAACCTTCATTGGGGTGGCTCTGGACTCAGTCACTATGCGGGCCTGTCCATCTGCTCAGCGCCTGGACGACATCCTCCAGCTTCTTCCCCTCTTCAAAAGGGGCAGGTCTCTGGCATATATTCTTTTTCTCCGCCTCTTGGGCAAGCTGACAGCTGCCTCGGCTGTCGTTGCCTTGGGCTTGTTGTCACTGTCCCAGACTCTCCTGACCTGGGCAGCTCCTTACCTGGCCAGCCTACGGTCAATGTATCTGCCCGGAGAGCAGAACCAAGTCGCCGACTTCCTCTCCCGTCACAAGCCTCCACCAGGGGAGTGGCGGCTTCATCCAGAGGTGGTGACCAGCATCTGGGGTCTCTTCGGCAGGGCAGAGGTAGATCTCTTTGCCTCGAAGATGTCAACCCACTGCCCCCTATGGTTCTCCTTGATGGAGAAGACCAGCCCTTTGGGTCAGGACGCCCTGGCTCATTCATGGCCAGGGTGTCTTCTCTATGCCTATCCACCCCTTCCTCTGATCCTACCAACACTCCTCAGAGTGCTTCATCAGGGCCACAGGCTTCTTCTGGTGGCCCCCTTCTGGCCAGACTCTGCTGTGGGACGCCTTGGCGTCTCCCCAACAGGAAGGACCTCTTGTCTCAGCTGGAGGGTCGGATATGGCACCCCGACCCCTGCCACCTCCAGCTGCGGGTCTGGCCACTGGAGGGCCCGACCCACTGCTGAGCGACTGCGTAGAGCCTGTCAGGAGGACTATTCTCAATGCTAGGGCACCATCTACTCGTAGGCAGTACGAAAACAGGTGGAAACTGTTTTCTGACTGGTGCCAAGGGCGAAATGAGGACCCAGTACATTGCTCGGTGCCTACGACCCTTGAGTTCCTGCAGTCCCTCCTGGACGACGGCCGGTGTCCCGCTACCGTCAGGCTGCTATATCAGCTCAACACGCAAGGGTTGACAACAACACAGTGGGGAGCCATAGGCTGGTATCCCTCTTTTTAAGGGGAGCACTGAGGCTTCGCCCCCCGAACATCCCAAGGGCCCCTACATGGGACCTGCCCTTGGTGCTGGATGCCCTATGCTCGCCTCCCTTTGAACCCTTGTCACAGGCAGAACTGAGGTGGCTCTCAGCTAAGACTGCTTTCCCTCTTGCCATCACCTCAGCAAAGCGTGTAAGCGAGCTTCAGGCCTTGTCCGTGAACAGCTCGTGTCTGAGGTGGAACTCAGATGGCTCAGGTGTCACTTTATGGCCGAACACAGCGTTCCTCCCTAAGGTGCTGGCACGCTCTCATTTTAATCGGCCTATCCAGCTGGCACGGTTTGACCCCCCATCAGGAGAGGGGGAAGAGAGGTCGAGACTCCTATGCCCGGTGCGGGCCCTTAGAGCTTATGTCCAGACTACCGCAGGCATGCGTCAGTCTGAACAGCTCTTTCTGTGTTACGGTGGTCCTAGAAGGGGCTGTGCGCTCTCAAAACAGCGCTTGTCCCACTGGATCGTGGACGTCATTGCCCAGGCATACAAGGCGAATGACCGTCCCTTGCCACCCAGAGTAAAGTGCCACTCTACCAGGAGTGTCTCCACGTCATGGGCGACCTTGAGAGGTGTGCCCCTGGAGGACATATGTGCTGCGGCCACATGGGCATCTCCGAGCACATTCGCCACATACTACAGGGTGAATGTTGCCGCCCCTCACCCGCTGGGTGTGGTCCTCCTGCAGAGTCCGTCTAGGCCATCCTTATAGGGGGAGTATTCAGACTTCCTCGTGACTCTGTTGGTATAGGTCATCCAGTGCTAAAGCACCGCCTCTGGCGGTCAGTAAGGATGAAATTAAACGATAGTTACGTATGTAACTATCGTTTAATTCATTTAGATATACAGTAAAATAGAGCTTTAAAGAGGTCGTCGTTTACTTTGACACATCTTGACTTAAATCCATATTATACTACATGTGTTATAAAGTCTACAGGCAGATGTTTGAAATGTCTCGTGTTCACAGGACGGGTCTCGACGAGATGATGAGCTCTGAGGATGATGAAGATGATGATGATGAAGAGTCTCTGTCCTCCAGCTGTGGAGCCTCTGCAGTGATGATGAAACAGAGACGGGTGGAGCAGAGCAGCAGGTAGGCCTCATTATCATCATGTGTTCACTGAGGTCCTGTAAGACTTCGCTTTTGGAGAAACTTTTATCAGCGATATAAAATAAATATTAGAGAGAATCCTGACTAACTGAATCTTCGTTTCTTTCAGCTCCTCCGACTGCAGCTCGTCCTCCACTGATCAAACCAGCAGAGAGCCTCAGGGAACCAGTAGAGAGCCTCAGGGAACCAGTAAAGAGCCTCAGGGAACCAGTAGAGAGAATAAGGGAACCAGCAGAGAGCCTCAATCTGAGGGAACCAGCAGAGAGTCTCAGTCTGAGGGAACCAGCAGAGAGAACAAGGGAACCAGCAGAGAGCCTCAATCTGAGGGAACCAGCAAAGAACCTCAATCTGAGGGAACCAGCAGAGAGCCTCAATCTGAGGGAACCAGCAGAGAGAACAAGGGAACCAGCAGAGAGCCTCAGTCTGAGGGAACCAGCAAAGAACCTCAATCTGAGGGAACCAGCAGAGAGCCTCAATCTGAGGGAACCAGCAGAGAGCCTCAATCTGAGGGAACCAGCAGAGAGCCTCAATCTGAGGGAACCAGCAGAGAGCCTCAGTCTGAGGGAACCAGCAGAGAGAACAAGGGAACCAGCAGAGAGAACAAGGGAACCAGCAGAGAGCCTCAATCTGAGGGAACCAGCAGAGAGCCTCAATCTGAGGGAACCAGCAGAGAGCCTCAGTCTGAGGGAACCAGCAGAGAGAACAAGGGAACCAGCAGAGAGCCTCCTGCAGAGTCTCAGCAGGTCAGCATCTCTTTCTCTCTCCTGTCGTTTGTTGGAGCTTCTTCTCTTGAAGACAGTATAAGATAGTTTTGGATGGCAAACATTACTTTATTAATTAATGTTTAAATACAGACAGGAATAAGTAGATCACTTTTTTCCTCCAGTTTGAGCAGTGGCGCTTTTATTAGGGCTGTCCGTCGATTCAAATATTTAACCCATGATTGTCCATAATTAATCGCACATTTTTTATCTGTTCTAAATGTACCTTAGAGGGATATCTTTCAAGTTTTTAATACTCTTATCAACATATGAGTGGACAAATATGCTTTATATGTTTGTTTATTATCATTTGAACAATGAAAAATATTCTCTTGAATATTAAACACAACAACCTGAACATTACAAATATTCAGACACTCATCACCGAGGTCACAATATCAATGGATCCAGCAGAGCAATAGCCTTTAGACAAAACACAGAAGATCAACAAAAGATATGACATCAAATGATTACATACATACATCTTAAAATATATTTTAAGATGTATTTATTTTTGCATTATTTGAATTACTTTCTGCTGACACTAGGTGGGGCTGTGTGTGAAATACATGCTGATGTCCTGCACCATAATCATGCATCAGCCATTAACAAACACACCCTTACATTAAGTATAAAGAAACTAATGATGTGTGTTCAAAGGGTTAAAGCATCTGACCTTGCTCTCCAGGTGGACCTGTCCTCGCTGTCCTGCGTGTCCCAGCTGGAGGCTCTGGGTCTGGCCCGTCTGAAGCAGGAACTGATGTCTCGTGGTCTGAAGTGCGGGGGAACTCTTAGTGAACGCGCAGCGCGACTCTTCTCCGTCAGAGCGCTGAAACCCGAGGACGTCCCGGCGGCGCTGCTTGCCAAGAACAGGAAGTGATGTCACTCGGACACGCCTCTATAACAGGAAGTGATGTCACTCGGACACGCCTCTATAACCTGGGAAATGCTTTCTGTCCATCTGAGTTTCGATGTCTTGTTATTGAATTTTTATTTTGTCTTCTCTCACATCGTTTGATCTGAAACTTTATGAATACATCTATTTTTTTTTTATCAGCAGAAAGTAGGATCTTCTTTACCTGTTGTTGAATATGTCCGGTTTTAGTTTATTACATTCAGATCTGAGTCCTGTTGTTCTGGAATATGTAACATTTACATTTCTAATAAAACGTTTCTGTAACTAAAAACGTGTCTTTCGTTTTTCAGGATTTATGAACTATAACAATTAGCTTAAAGGTGGGGTAGGTCATTCACTTCAGAAACACTTAAAGGTGGGGTAGGTAATTCACTTCAGAAACACTTAAAGGTGGGGTAGGTAATTCCCTCCAGAAACACTTAAAGGTGGGGTAGGTAATTCACTTCAGAAACACTTAAAGGTGGGGTAGGTAATTCACTTCAGAAACACTTAAAGGTGGGGTAGGTAATTCACTTCAGAAACACTTAAAGGTAGGGTAGGTAATTCACTTCAGAAACACTTAAAGGTAGGGTAGGTAATTCACTTCAGAAACACTTAAAGGTGGGGTAGGTAATGCACTTCAGAAACACTTAAAGGTAGGGTAGGTAATTCACTTCAGAAACACTTAAAGGTAGGGTAGGTAATTCACTTCAGAAACACTTAAAGGTGGGGTAGGTAATTCACTTCAGAAACACTTAAAGGTGGCGTAGGTAATTCACTTCAGAAACACTTAAAGGTGGCGTAGGTAATTCACTTCAGAAACACTTAAAGGTGGGGTAGGTAATTCACTTCAGAAACACTTAAAGGTGGGGTAGGTAATTCACTTCAGAAACACTTAAAGGTGTGGTAGGTAATTCACTTCAGAAACACTTAAAGGTGGGGTAGGTAATTCACTTCAGAAACACTTAAAGGTAGGGTAGGTAATTCACTTCAGAAACACTTAAAGGTGGGGTAGGTAATTCCCTTCAGAAACACTTAAAGGTAGGGTAGGTAATTCACTTCAGAAACACTTAAAGGTGGGGTAGGTAATTCACTTCAGAAACACTTAAAGGTGGGGTAGGTAATTCACTTCAGAAACACTTAAAGGTAGGGTAGGTAATTCACTTCAGAAACACTTAAAGGTAGGGTAGGTAATTCACTTCAGAAACACTTAAAGGTGGGGTAGGTAATTCACTTCAGAAACACTTAAAGGTAGGGGTAGGTAATTCACTTCAGAAACACTTAAAGGTGGGGTAGGTAATTCACTTCAGAAACACTTAAAGGTGGGTAGGTAATTCACTTCAGAAACACTTAAAGGTGGGGTAGGTAATTCACTTCAGAAACACTTAAAGGTAGGGTAGGTAATTCACTTCAGAAACACTTAAAGGGTAGGGTAGGTAATTCACTTCAGAAACACTTAAAGGTGGGGTAGGTAATTCACTTCAGAAACACTTAAAGGTAGGGGTAGGTAATTCACTTCAGAAACACTTAAAGGTGGGGTAGGTAATTCACTTCAGAAACACTTAAAGGTGGGGTAGGTAATTCACTTCAGAAACACTTAAAGGTGGGGTAGGTAATTCACTTCAGAAACACTTAAAGGTAGGGTAGGTAATTCACTTCAGAAACACTTAAAGCTGGGGTAGGTAATTCACTTCAGAAACACTTAAAGGTGGGGTAGGTAATTCACTTCAGAAACACTTAAAGGTGGGGTAGGTAATTCACTTCAGAAACACTTAAAGGTGGCGTAGGTAATTCACTTCAGAAACACTTAAAGGTGGGGTAGGTAATTCACTTCAGAAACACTTAAAGGTGGTGTAGGTAATTCCCTCCAGAAACACTTAAAGGTGGGGTAGGTAATTCACTTCAGAAACACTTAAAGGTGGGGTAGGTAATTCACTTCAGAAACACTTAAAGGTAGGGTAGGTAATTCACTTCAGAAACACTTAAAGGTAGGGTAGGTAATTCACTTCAGAAACACTTAAAGGTGGGGTAGGTAATGCACTTCAGAAACACTTAAAGGTAGGGTAGGTAATTCACTTCAGAAACACTTAAAGGTGGGGTAGGTAATTCACTTCAGAAACACTTAAAGGTGGGGTAGGTAATTCACTTCAGAAACACTTAAAGGTAGGGGTAGGTAATTCACTTCAGAAACACTTAAAGGTGGGGTAGGTAATTCACTTCAGAAAACACTTAAAGGTGGGGTAGGTAATTCACTTCAGAAACACTTAAAGGTAGGGGTAGGTAATTCACTTCAGAAACACTTAAAGGTGGGTAGGTATTCACTTCAGAAACACTTAAAGGTGGTGTAGGTAATTCACTTCAGAAACACTTAAAGGTGGGGTAGGTAATTCACTTCAGAAACACTTAAAGGTGGGGTAGGTAATTCACTTCAGAAACACTTAAAGGTAGGGGTAGGTAATTCACTTCAGAAACACTTAAAGGTGGGGTAGGTAATTCACTTCAGAAACACTTAAAGGTGGGGTAGGTAATTCACTTCAGAAACACTTAAAGGTGGGGTAGGTAATTCACTTCAGAAACACTTAAGGTGGGGTAGGTAATTCACTTCAGAAACACTTAAAGGTGGGGTAGGTAATTCACTTCAGAAACACTTAAAGGTGTGGTAGGTAATTCACTTCAGAAACACTTAAAGGTAGGGTAGGTAATTCACTTCAGAAACACTTAAAGGTGGGGTAGGTAATTCACTTCAGAAACACTTAAAGGTGGGGTAGGTAATTCACTTCAGAAACACTTAAAGGTGGGGTAGGTAATTCACTTCAGAAACACTTAAAGGTAGGGTAGGTAATTCACTTCAGAAACACTTAAAGCTGGGGTAGGTAATTCACTTCAGAAACACTTAAAGGTGGGGTAGGTAATTCACTTCAGAAACACTTAAAGGTGGGGTAGGTAATTCACTTCAGAAACACTTAAGGTGGCGTAGGTAATTCACTTCAGAAACACTTAAAGGTGGGGTAGGTATTCACTTCAGAAACACTTAAAGGTGGTGTAGGTAATTCCCTCCAGAAACACTTAAAGGTGGGGTAGGTAATTCACTTCAGAAACACTTAAAGGTGGGGTAGGTAATTCACTTCAGAAACACTTAAAGGTAGGGTAGGTAATTCACTTCAGAAACACTTAAAGGTAGGGTAGGTAATTCACTTCAGAAACACTTAAAGGTGGGGTAGGTAATGCACTTCAGAAACACTTAAAGGTAGGGTAGGTAATTCACTTCAGAAACACTTAAAGGTAGGGTAGGTAATTCACTTCAGAAACACTTAAAGGTGGGGTAGGTAATTCACTTCAGAAACACTTAAAGGTGGGGTAGGTAATTCACTTCAGAAACACTTAAAGGTGGGGTAGGTAATTCACTTCAGAAACACTTAAAGGTGGGGTAGGTAATTCACTTCAGAAACACTTAAAGGTGGGGTAGGTAATTCACTTCAGAAACACTTAAAGGTGGCGTAGGTAATTCCCTTCAGAAACACTTAAAGGTAGGGTAGGTAATTCACTTCAGAAACACTTAAAGGTGGGGTAGGTAATTCACTTCAGAAACACTTAAAGGTGGCGTAGGTAATTCACTTCAGAAAACACTTAAAGGTAGGGTAGGTAATTCCCTTCAGAACACTTAAAGGTGGGGTAGGTAATTCACTTCAGAAACACTTAAAGGTGGGGTAGGTAATTCACTTCAGAAACACTTAAAGGTGGGGTAGGTAATTCACTTCAGAAACACTTAAAGGTGGGGTAGGTAATTCCCTTCAGAAACACTTAAAGGTGGGGTAGGTAAACAGGAACACATATGTGAGAATGCTGTTCATTGACTACAGTTCAGCATTCAACACCATTGTGCCCTCCAAGCTGGCCATCAAGCTCAGAGACCTCGGGCTCAACAGCGCCCTCTGTGACTGGATCCTGAACTTCCTGACGGGCAGACCCCAGGCAGTGCGGGTGGGAAACATCACATCCTCCACCCTGATTCTTAACACCGGTGCCCCTCAAGGCTGCGTGCTCAGCCCTCTCCTCTACTCCCTGTTCACCCACGACTGCGTGGCCACACACAGCTCCAACACCATCGTGAAGTTTGCTGATGACACGACCGTCATCGGCCAGATCACAGACGATGACGAGACGGCGTACAGAGAGGAGGTCGAAAACCTGACATCTTGGTGCCAGGATAACAACCTCCATCTCAACATCAGCAAAACAAGGAGCTGATTGTGGACTACAGGAAGCAGCAGGGAGAGGGACACGCCCCCATCGCCATCAATGGGACTACGGTGGAGAGAGTCAAAAGCTTCAGGTTCCTTGGGGTCCACATCACTGAGGACCTGACATGGTCTCTTCACACCACCACCATCACCAAGAAAGCTCGACAGCGGCTCTTCTTCCTCCGCAGGTTGAGGAGGTTCAAAATGGATTCCAGGATACTCTGCAACTTCTACAGGTGCACGATAGAGAGTATCCTCACTGGCAGCATGACGGCCTGGTACGGCAGCTGCACCGACCTCGATCGTAAGGCTTTACAGAGGGTGGTGGAAACTGCACAGCACATCACCAGGACGGAGCTGCCATCCATGGAGGACCTTTACTCCCAGCGGCTCAGGAAGAAATCACTACGGATTATCAAAGACCCCCATCACCCCAGCCACAAACTGTTCTTTCTGTTGCCGTCTGGCAGACGTTACCGCAGCATCCGGGCAAGGACAAGAAGATTCGGAGACAGTTTCTTCCCGCGGGCAGTGAGACTGTTAAAAAATTGAACTGTTGAAACAACTTCAAACATTCAACTGCTACTCAGTAGTATGTATCTAATACCTAATATATATATATCATTCCAATAACTTGTATATAGACTCATACTGCACTATTCCACATCATAACTTTATTTCATTTTTATAACTATTATTATTTTTGTATTGCTCTTGCTCTTATTATTATGTTATGTTATTATGTTGCATTGTTGGAGAAGCCTGTGACATAAGATTTTCAACTGCATAATTACTCTGTAGCTATGTCAGATTGACAATAAAGAACCTTGAACCTTGAACCTTGAACCTTGAACCCTTCAGAAACACTTAAAGGTGGGGTAGGTAATTCACTTCAGAAACACTTAAAGGTGGGGTAGGTAATTCACTTCAGAAACACTTAAAGGTGGCGTAGGTAATTCCCTTCAGAAACACTTAAAGGTAGGGTAGGTAATTCACTTCAGAAACACTTAAAGGTGGGGTAGGTAATTCACTTCAGAAACACTTAAAGGTGGCGTAGGTAATTCACTTCAGAAACACTTAAAGGTAGGGTAGGTAATTCCCTTCAGAAACACTTAAAGGTGGGGTAGGTAATTCACTTCAGAAACACTTAAAGGTGGGGTAGGTAATTCACTTCAGAAACACTTAAAGGTAGGGTAGGTAATTCACTTCAGAAACACTTAAAGGTAGGGTAGGTAATTCCCTTCAGAAACACTTAAAGGTAGGGTAGGTAATTCCCTTCAGAAACACTTAAAGGTAGGGTAGGTAATTCACTTCAGAAACACTTAAAGGTAGGGTAGGTAATTCCCTTCAGAAACACTTAAAGGTAGGGTAGGTAATTCACTTCAGAAACACTTAAAGGTAGGGTAGGTAATTCCCTTCAGAAACACTTAAAGGTAGGGTAGGTAATTCCCTTCAGAAACACTTAAAGGTAGGGTAGGTAATTCCCTTCAGAAACACTTAAAGGTAGGGTAGGTAATTCCCTTCAGAAACACTTAAAGGTAGGGTAGGTAATTCCCTTCAGAAACACTTAAAGGTAGGGTAGGTAATTCACTTCAGAAACACTTGTTATATTCCATGGAATGCTCTTAACATCCTGATAGCAATGAATATCTGAAGAGCTTTGACAATAAATACATAAAAAAAATATCATCTGTGGAAGCTGTAGCGCTGTAAAAAGCACGACCAATCACCTGCCTCGGCCCGGCTCAGATAACTGGATGGCCTACCTGCCTGTCAGCCTTCCATCTGTGCACAAACTGATCTCGTGCCCTCATTGGTCATGTGCGTGTGTGTTGGAGGAGGGGCTCTGTGAGGAAGTCTGAAGGAAGGGGCAGATGTTTTTCGGTTGTGTATTTTCAAAGCACTCCAGCTGGTTTCTCCGTTCTTACCTACCCCACCTTTAAGTGTTTCTGAAGTGAATTACCTACCCTACCTTTAAAGCTCACCTATTATGCTTTTGAACAATATATGATCCATATCTATCTATATAAGGACATGTCTCTGAAGTGTCCTGCTCGTTCCAGAGTCCTGCCTCGGGGCGGCTTCCCGACGGGTGACCCGCAAAAAAAGGGATTCGTAGGTTGAATTTCTTCACAAAAATGTTTTCGGGTTAGGCTCGGGGTAAAACAAAGAAGATGCGGGTCAGATCGCGGGTGTTGCATAATAATTTAATTTAATGTTTAAATAATTTGGAAATCACATTGGAAACGGCAGCTGGTGGAGCTCTGATTGACATGCTGGCTCCACCAGCTGCATCCACCTAGCAGCTGCTCTGTGGGTTAGGTCCTGGAGAGAGGGTTAGTATATTGAAATGAAACAGATCCTTGTAGCCCCCCCCCCTCTCTCTTCCAGCTGTTACTAAGGACATGTCTCTGAAGTGTCCTGCTCCAGACCCCAAACAGATCCTTGTAGCCCCCCCCCCCCCCCTCTCTCCCAGCTGTTACTAAGGACATGTCTCTGAAGTGTCCTGCTCCAAACCCCAAACAGACCCTTGTAGCCCCCCCCCCCTCTCTTCCAGCTGTTACTAAGGACATGTCTCTGAAGTGTCCTGCTCCAGACCCCAAACAGATCCTTGTAGCCCCCCCCTCTCTCTCTTCCAGCTGTTACTAAGGACATGTCTCTGAAGTGTCCTGCTCCAGACCCCAAACAGATCCTTGTAGCCCCCCCCCCCTCTCTTCCAGCTGTTACTAAGGACATGTCTCTGAAGTGTCCTGCTCCAAACCCCAAACAGATCCTTGTAGCCCCCCCCCCCCCCCTCTCTTCCAGCTGTTACTAAGGACATGTCTCTGAAGTGTCCTGCTCCAAACCCCAAACAGATCCTTGTAGCCCCCCCCTCTCTCTTCCAGCTGTTACTAAGGACATGTCTCTGAAGTGTCCTGCTCCAAACCCCAAACAGATCCTTGTAGCCCCCCCCCTCTCTCTTCCAGCTGTTACTAAGGACATGTCTCTGAAGTGTCCTGCTCCAAACCCCAAACAGATCCTTGTAGCCCCCCCCTCTCTCTTCCAGCTGTTACTAAGGACATGTCTCTGAAGTGTCCTGCTCCAAACCCCAAACAGATCCTTGTAGCCCCCCCCCCCCCCTCTCTCCCAGCTGTTACTAAAGAGCTGACTCTGGGTCAGTAGCTTCAGAGAGAGAGTAGATCTCATCAGGAGAACTCTCCCAGCAGAAACTCAGCTAAATGCTGCCGTGATGAAACTCCATATCATGTTCCAAACCACATCAAGGATTCTCTCTGAAACAGCATGGAGCTCAAACTCTTTCTCTCTCAGGTTTACCACAAGGTGACTTCCTTTTCATTTCCTGCTTCTTCACACATGCTCTCTCCAGTACAGGTTAGCTCTGAGTGTTAGCATGCTAATGTAAACACACCAGGGACACATGTTGATGTAGAAAAGACTTCAGAATATGTTGATTGTTGAATTAAATGATCAGACATTTTTTCATTCAAGAATTTATTGCAAAACCAACAAATTTGAAATAATGAGAAAACATAAATATTTAAGCTATACACTGTTAGCATGTACAGAGCAATCAGATTACAACCGTCTGACTCTCCTAAATATCAGGTATGACCTAAAAACATCCGTAACCCCGTCAGGTTTTCAGTAGCGAGTAGCGGCTTGAAAGAAATCTTGATATTTATTTCTTCGGACGAGAGGACAGTTAAATTATCTCATTTACATTACAGTCTGTGTGTCCGCAGCAGTGCATGCTGGGACATTGAGTTCAGAAGCCGGGGTCCCAGGAGGTGACCTGCGGAGCGTCGAGCTCCTCGAAGCAAACCACCACGTCTCCGGCTCTGAACTCCACCTCAACGTCCACCGACAAACCGCACTCCATCCCCAACTTCACCGTCTGGACCTCGTCTTTGTGATGTTTCAGAGCCAGCAGGGGGCCTGTAGTGAAAGCAACCATTAACACCACTTTCTCTCAGTAAACAAAGACGTTCGCTAAGCTAAAGGCGGCTAATGCTGGGCTATAAAGGAACTACAGCACGGTCACATGACTTCGCGTCACCACCGCTAAGCTAAAGGCGGCTAATGTTGGGCTATAAAGGAACTACAGCACGGTCACATGACTTCACGTCACCACCGCTAAGCTAAAGGTGGCTAATGTTGGGCTATAAAGGAACTACAGCACGGTCACATGACTTCACGTCACCACCGCTAAGCTAAAGGCGGCTAATGTTGGGCTATAAAGGAACTACAGCACGGTCACATGACTTCACGTCACCACCGCTAAGCTAAAGGCGGCTAATGTTGGGCTATAAAGGAACTACAGCACGGTCACATGACTTCGCGTCACCACCGCTAAGCTAAAGGCGGCTAATGTTGGGCTATAAAGGAACTACAGCACGGTCACATGACTTCGCGTCACCACCGCTAAGCTAAAGGTGGCTAATGTTGGGCTATAAAGGAACTACAGCACGGTCACATGACTTCACGTCACCACCGCTAAGCTAAAGGTGGCTAATGTTGGGCTATAAAGGAACTACAGCACGGTCACATGACTTCACGTCACCACCGCTAAGCTAAAGGAGGCTAATGTTGGGCTATAAAGGAACTACAGCACGGTCACATGACTTCGCGTCACCACCGCTAAGCTAAAGGTGGCTAATGTTGGGCTATAAAGGAACTACAGCACGGTCACATGACTTCACGTCACCACCGCTAAGCTAAAGGTGGCTAATGTTGGGCTAATAAGGAACTACAGCACGGTCACATGACTTCACGTCACCACCGCTAAGCTAAAGGAGGCTAATGTTGGGCTATAAAGGAACTACAGCACGGTCACATGACTTCACGTCACCACCGCTAAGCTAAAGGAGGCTAACGTTGGGCTATAAAGGAACTACAGCACGGTCACATGACTTCACGTCACCACCGCTAAGCTAAAGGAGGCTAATGTTGGGCTATAAAGGAACTACAGCACGGTCACATGACTTCTGGACTTTGTATTATATGAACTCACCCTCCCAGATGGCGTCTCGTCCTCTGATCAGTCTGAACGTCATCCTCCGGTCCAGCAGACCCTTCTGAACCCTGCAGCCGGCCACAGGAAGCTTCCTCTTCCCCACGGAGACGTCGAACATGGCGAGAACCGTCGCCTCACCTGGATCAGAGAGCAGATCCTGGATCAGGGATCACTTCAACGCTATCAGCAGGAATACCCTGCTTCTACAGACACTTCCAGGCTTTATGAATGGATATGTTGTGATAGGAGGATAACACTTTAATGGTCAGATGAGCACAGAGGATGCTTCAGACTGAATGAAGCACAGAGGACGCTTCAGGCTGACTGGAGCACAGAGGATGCTTCAGGCTGACTGGAGCACAGAGGATGCTTCAGGCTGACTGGAGCACAGAGGATGCTTCAGGCTGACTGGAGCACAGAGGATGCTTCAGACTGACTGGAGCACAGAGGATACTTCAGACTGACTGGAGCACAGAGGATGCTTCAGACTGACTGGAGCACAGAGGATGCTTCAGGCTGACTGGAGCTCAGAGGATGCTTCAGGCTGACTGGAGCACAGAGGATGCTTCAGGCTGACTGGAGCACAGAGGATGCTTCAGACTGACTGGAGCACAGAGGATGCTTCAGGCTGACTGGAGCACAGAGGATGCTTCAGGCTGACTTTATTGAATCTCCATTAGATAGTAGCAGTTCCTATTCTCTGTCAGAGCATGCTCATAAAGTCATGTGACAGCAGATGTTTCCTCACCCACGATGTTCTCAGTCTTCAGCGGCGGCAGTTTGCTGCTCAGCTCGTCCTTCAGCTCGTCGATTAGTTTGTAGATGATGTTGTGAAGTCTCAGCGGGACGCAGAGCTTCTCCGCCAGCTGGACGATCGACTTACTGGCCGCCACGTTAAAGCCGTAAACTGAACCTGAGGGAGAACATGGAGCCAGAGGACATTGACTTCTATACAATCTGAGGTAATACAGAGAGAGCAGGAACATTTTCTCATAGACTTCTATTAAACCTGCTGGTGGTTCTGGTTCTGGTTCTAGCACTGGTTCTGGTTCTGGTTCTAGTTCTGTTTCTGGTACCTGAGAAGGTGTTGGCCATGTTGACGTCGTTCTCTGAGATGTCTCCGATGCCGTAGTCCAGGATGTCCAGAGGACACTGAAGCTGAGCGTCGTACGATGACAGGATGTTCAGGAGGGCTTCCACTGAGCCGTCAACATCTCCTGGGGTCAGAGGTCACAGGTCAGAGGTCAGAGTGTGTGTGAGCTTATTCTACACAACAGGAACCACACACTCATACATACTGTCTGAGGTATGGCCTGCTGGCGTGAGGATTTGTTTTGTTGGTGTATGTATTGTGAACGCAATGCTGCACAAATGTGGGTCTGCCTCAGACTGTCCGTCTACATGATGTGGCCTGCCCTCATGCCCACTGTCACACCGATCATACATTACAGCCCTGATGGGTCTCTGTGTGTCAGAGTGTGTGTATGTGTGGCGCGAGTGAGTGAGCGGAAAGGGGGAGAGCGCGCACCGGTTACTTGTATTGTTGTTGTTAGCATCTGGTGCTATCTAGCTACGCTAACGGATATAAGGAGCTGTTTGAACAACAAGGTGGAGGATCAGCTCAGACTGAGAGGCTCTGATAACTACAGCTCAGACTGAGAGGCTCTGATAACTACAGCTCAGACTGAGAGGCTCTGATAACTACAGCTCAGACTGAGAGGCTCTGATAGCTACAGCTCAGACTGAGAGGCCCTGATAACTACAGCTCAGACTGAGAGGCTCTGATAACTACAGCTCAGACTGAGAGGCTCTGATAACTACAGCTCAGACTGAGAGGCTCTGATAACTACAGCTCAGACTGAGAGGCTCTGAGAGGCTCTGATAGCTACAGCTCAGACTGAGAGGCCCTGATAACTACAGCTCAGACTGAGAGGCTCTGATAACTACAGCTCAGACTGAGAGGCTCTGATAACTACAGCTCAGACTGAGAGGCTGATAACTACAGCTCAGACTGAGAGGCTCTGATAACTACAGCTCAGACTGAGAGGCTGATAACTACAGCTCAGACTGAGAGGCTCTGATAACTACAGCTCAGACTGAGAGGCTCTGATAACTACAGCTCAGACTGAGAGACTCTGATAACTACAGCTCAGACTGAGAGGCTCTGATAACTACAGCTCAGACTGAGAGGCTCTGATAACTACAGCTCAGACTGAGAGGCTCTGATAACTACAGCTCAGACTGAGAGGCTCTGATAACTACAGCTCAGACTGAGAGACTCTGATAACTACAGCTCAGACTGAGAGATATAACTACTAGGGATGGGAATTTGAAAGCAAATGTATATTTGAATATTCGACCCCCCAAAAAACGGTTAACCGGTTAACCGAAATGTACATATCCTATATAAAAAGAAATTGGGTACATTTCTTTTTTTCGGAAATAAATAAATACATGTTCAAATAAGTATAGAAACCAAGTCGAATTTGTCAAATGTATTGAACTGGTGATCACAGTTTGACAGCTATAGGCCTACAGCTTTCATGCTTGAAACATCAAAAACCTATAACAGGGCCCATGCACAGAATGCAGCTATTCAATAGGCTACTCATTCTGGTTTAAAAATATGAGCATGTCTACATGCTCAGGGGAGAGGCGGAGGCGATTCACAATCAGGCCAGCTGTAGAGAAGACCCTCTCAGCTGGAACGGAGGTTGCGGGTATAGCAAGGTATAGTATGTATTAGGGATGGGAACGATTAATCGAATATTCGAAATTATTCAGGTATTCGAATATGTGTTATGAATATTTTTTTTGTTTTTTGGGAGGGATGCCTAAGTTGATTACATATTATCAAATTGAATAATTCAATGTATACGACAGTGCCATAGCTAAGTGTGTTAGGTCTAAAGGTGTGTTTTGCTCCGCTCACCGGTCCCTCACAGCGGGCAGAGCTGCAGGTGCTGATCTCTCTCTCTCGTCCGGTACTTCACTCGCGTTTATGTCCAAATCCATCAGATCTAGTTCTAGCTAATGATATGGCTGCTGCCCCTGCCTACACGCAGACCACGCAGACTCAAACCTCATCTTATGTCCAAATGCGCTCCGCAGCCGTTGCGAGGTTGCGGCGCTAACAGTTCATGAGCGTGCTCCCCCGCTCCCTGTCAACACTCGCGACACATGAGTGGCCAGCCTAAACAACAGTAAGCGCTGCTTGGCAACCGTGTGTGGCGGCAAAGTACAAAGACATTTTGACAGGAGAGATTTAGTTTTGCCGGTATTCAACATATTTGACCAGTCATAGTCCGGTAATTATTTACACTCTAAGAAGAGTCCTACAGACATGGCGTCAAGAAGGAGTGATGTGTGGAAATATTTCCACCAGGTTAGTGAGTGCGGTGTAGAGTGCAAACTATGCCAAATTAAACTTATATATACACATACTATACCTTGCTATACCCGCAACCTCCGTTCCAGCTGAGAGGGTCTTCTCTACAGCTGGCCTGATTGTGAATCGCCTCCGCCTCTCCCCTGAGCATGTAGACATGCTCATATTTTTAAACCAGAATGAGTAGCCTATTGAATAGCTGCATTCTGTGCATGGGCCCTGTTATAGGTTTTTGATGTTTCAAGCATGAAAGCTGTAGGCCTATAGCTGTCAAACTGTGATCACCAGTTCAATACATTTGACAAATTCGACTTGGTTTCTATACTTATTTGAACATGTATTTATTTATTTCCAAAAGTTATTGAAAATTTTTCTTTCGAAAAGACATTTTAGAATTTTTTTTTTGACCCAATTTTTTTTTTTATAGGATATGTACATTTCGGTTAACCGTTTTTTGGGGGGTCGAATATTCGAATATATATATATATTTGCTTTCAAATTCCCATCCCTAGTATGTATATATATAAGTTTAATTTGGCATAGTTTGCACTCTACACCGCACTCACTAACCTGGTGGAAATCTTTCCACACATCACTCCTTCTTGACGCCATGTCTGTAGGACTCTTCTTAGAGTGTAAATAATTACCGGACTATGACTGGTCAAATATGTTGAATACCGGCAAAACTAAATCTCTCCTGTCAAAATGTCTTTGTACTTTGCCGCCACACACGGTTGCCAAGCAACGCTTACTGTTGTTTAGGCTGGCCACTCATGTGTCGCGAGTGTTGACAGGGGACGGGGGAGCACGCTCATGAACTGTTAGCGCCGGAACCTCCCAACGGCTGCGGAGCGCATTTGGACATAAGATGAGGTTTGAGTCTGCGTGGTCTGCGTGTAGGCAGGGGCAGCAGCCATATCATTAGCTAGAACTAGATCTGATGGATTTGGACATAAACGCGAGTGAAGTACCGGACGCGAGAGAGAGAGATCAGCACCTGCAGCTCTGCCCACTGTGAGGGACCGGTGAGCGGAGCAAAACACACCTTTAGACCTAACACACTTAGCTATGGCACTGTGTATACATTGAATTATTCCATTTGATCATATGTAATCAACTTAGGCATCCCTCCCAAAAAACTAAAAAGATATTAATACAAATATTCATAACTCGTATTCCAAAATCTGAAGAATTATTCGAATGCCTGAATAATTTCGAATATTCGAATATTCGAATATTCGATTAATCGTTCCCATACCTAATAACTACAGCTCAGACTGCTCTTCTTCTCACTGGGTCTCACTGTGTGTGTGTGTGTGTGTGTGTGTGTGTGTGTGTGTGTGTGTGTGTGTGTGTGTACCCTTGACGATGAGCTGTAGCCCCGCCCCCTCTCCACTGCTCTTCTCACTGGGTCTCATGGTGTGCTGGTCCTTGTGGGTTTTGTAGAGGATCCTCTTCCTCTGCCTCCAGCTGAGGTGCATCATCCCCTCCCTCTGCTGTCGGTACTGATCCAGGTGGTGCTGCTGCTTCACCTGGATCAGCTCCTGCTCTTCCAACAGCTGCTGCGCCTCCCCCTGCTGCACACGCCACTCCACCACCTTCTTCGCCCTCTGCTGCTCACAGAGGGGCACAGGGGGTTAGAAACACTATCTGAGGTAATCAAGAGAGAGGAACATTTCCTCATAGACTTCTATACAATCTGAGGTAATACATTTCATACATTGTCTGTGGCTCAGTTAGACCCTTTCTCCCCACAGGGGGTCTCAGGTATCAGGGGGTCTCAGGTATCAGGGTCTCAGGTATCAGGGGGTCTCAGGTATCAGGGTCTCAGGTATCAGGGTCAGGGGGTGCTAGTGACTTATCCGACCGGCCCACATCGTCCGACCGGCCCACTTCAGTACCGGCCCATCGGGATTCGTCCCGAACGTCCCGATGGCCAGTCCGCCACTGGTCTCAGGTATCAGGGGGTCTCAGGTATCAGGGGGTCTCAGGTATCAGGGGGTCTCGGGTATCAGAGGGTCTCAGGTATCAGGGGGTCTCAGGTATCAGGGGGTCTCGGGTATGAGAGGGTCTCAGGTATCAGGGGGTCAGGTATCAGGGGGTCTCGGGTATCAGAGGGTCTCAGGTATCAGGGGGTCTCAGGTATCAGGGGGGTCTCAGGTATCAGGGGGTCTCAGGTATCAGAGGGTCTCAGGTATCAGGGGGTCTCAGGTATCAGGGGGTCTCAGGTATCAGGGGGTCTCAGGTATCAGGGGGTCTCAGGTATCAGAGGGTCTCAGGTATCAGGGGGTCAGGTATCAGGGGGTCTCAGGTATCAGGGGGTCTCAGGTATCAGAGGGTCTCAGGTATCAGGGGGTCTCAGGTATCAGGGGGTGTCAGGTATCAGGGGGTCTCAGGGGGTCTCAGGTATCAGGGGGTCTCAGGTATCAGGGGGTCAGGTATCAGGGGGTCAGGTATCAGGAGGTCTCAGGTATCAGGGGGTCAGGTATCAGGGGGTCTCAGGTATCAGGGTCTCAGGTATCAGGGGGTCTCAGGTATCAGGGGGTCTCAGGTATCAGGGGGTCTCAGGTATCAGGGGGTCTCAGGTATCAGGGTGTCTCGGGTGTCTCAGGTATCAGGGGATATCAGATTGGGGGTCTTCTCACCTCCGACTCGACCTCCATCATGGTGTCTCCGGCGGCCGGCAGCTCCTTCCAGCCGGCTATCTCCACGGCGACGCTAGGCCCCGCCTCCTCCAGCGCCCGGCCGTTCTCGTCCAATAGGAAGCGGACCTTGGCCCAGCTGGTCCCCGCCACCAGAACACTGCCTCGCCTCAACGTGCCTGTCTGGACCAGAGCCGTGGTCACCAGGCTGAGCAGAACCAGAACCTCAGCGTTAGTGTTCTCTCCATTATCCTGCTCTTATACTTAAGGAATCACTTAAAGTTATTGACACCATTGCCATTAGTCGCTCTGAATCTTAAGGTGTTTAGTCTCTCTTAAGGAGAATCTTAAGGAGTTTGATCTCTCTTAAGGAGAATCTTAAGGTGTTTTGTCTCTCTTAAGGTGTTTGGTCTCTCTTAAGGAGAATCTTAAGGTGTTTTGTCTCTCTTAAGGAGCATCTTGAGGTGTTTGGTCTCTCTTAAGGAGCATCTTGAGGTGTTTGGTCTCTCTTAAGGAGAATCTTAAGGAGTTTGATCTCTCTTAAGGAGCATCTTGAGGTGTTTTGTCTCTCTTAAGGAGCATCTTAAGGTGTTTTGTCTCTCTTAAGGAGCATCTTAAGGTGTTTGGTCTCTCTTAAGGAGCATCTTGAGGTGTTTAGTCTCTCTTAAGGAGCATCTTAAGGTGTTTTGTCTCTCTTAAGGAGCATCTTAAGGTGTATAGTCTCTCTTAAGGTGTTTGGTCTCTCTTAAGGAGCATCTTGAGGTGTTTGGTCTCTCTTAAGGAGCATCTTAAGGTGTTTGGTCTCTCTTAAGGAGCATCTTGAGGTGTATAGTCTCTCTTAAGGTGTTTGGTCTCTCTTAAGGAGAATCTTAAGGAGTTTGATCTCTCTTAAGGAGAATCTTAAGGTGTTTTGTCTCTCTTAAGGTGTTTGGTCTCTCTTAAGGAGAATCTTAAGGTGTTTTGTCTCTCTTAAGGAGCATCTTGAGGTGTTTGGTCTCTCTTAAGGAGCATCTTAAGGTGTTTGGTCTCTCTTAAGGAGAATCTTAAGGAGTTTGATCTCTCTTAAGGAGCATCTTGAGGTGTTTTGTCTCTCTTAAGGAGCATCTTAAGGTGTTTTGTCTCTCTTAAGGAGCATCTTAAGGTGTTTGGTCTCTCTTAAGGAGAATCTTAAGGAGTTTGATCTCTCTTAAGGAGAATCTTAAGGTGTTTTGTCTCTCTTAAGGAGCATCTTAAGGTGTTTGGTCTCTCTTAAGGAGCATCTTGAGGTGTTTGGTCTCTCTTAAGGAGAATCTTAAGGAGTTTGATCTCTCTTAAGGAGCATCTTGAGGTGTTTTGTCTCTCTTAAGGAGCATCTTAAGGTGTTTTGTCTCTCTTAAGGAGCTTCTTAAGGTGTTTGGTCTCTCTTAAGGAGCATCTTAAGGTGTTTGGTCTCTCTTAAGGAGAATCTTAAGGTGTTTTGTCTCTCTTAAGGAGAATCTTAAGGAGTTTGATCTCTCTTAAGGAGCATCTTGAGGTGTTTTGTCTCTCTTAAGGAGCATCTTAAGGTGTTTTGTCTCTCTTAAGGAGCATCTTAAGGTGTTTGGTCTCTCTTAAGGAGAATCTTAAGGAGTTTGATCTCTCTTAAGGAGCATCTTGAGGTGTTTTGTCTCTCTTAAGGAGCATCTTGAGGTGTTTGGTCTCTCTTAAGGAGCATCTTGAGGTGTTTGGTCTCTCTTAAGGAGCATCTTAAGGTGTTTTGTCTCTCTTAAGGAGCATCTTGAGGTGTTTTGTCTCTCTTAAGGAGCATCTTAAGGTGTTTGGTCTCTCTTAAGGAGCATCTTGAGGTGTTTAGTCTCTCTTAAGGAGCATCTTGAGGTGTTTGGTCTCTCTTAAGGAGCATCTTAAGGTGTTTTGTCTCTCTTAAGGAGCATCTTGAGGTGTTTGGTCTCTCTTAAGGAGCATCTTGAGGTGTATAGTCTCTCTTAAGGTGTTTGGTCTCTCTTAAGGAGCATCTTGAGGTGTTTGGTCTCTCTTAAGGAGCATCTTAAGGTGTTTAGTCTCTCTTAAGGAGCATCTTGAGGTGTATAGTCTCTCTTAAGGTGTTTGGTCTCTCTTAAGGAGCATCTTGAGGTGTTTGGTCTCTCTTAAGGAGCATCTTAAGGTGTTTTGTCTCTCTTAAGGAGCATCTTGAGGTGTTTTGTCTCTCTTAAGGAGCATCTTAAGGTGTTTGGTCTCTCTTAAGGAGCATCTTGAGGTGTTTAGTCTCTCTTAAGGAGCATCTTGAGGTGTTTGGTCTCTCTTAAGGAGCATCTTAAGGTGTTTTGTCTCTCTTAAGGAGCATCTTGAGGTGTTTGGTCTCTCTTAAGGAGCATCTTGAGGTGTATAGTCTCTCTTAAGGTGTTTGGTCTCTCTTAAGGAGCATCTTGAGGTGTTTGGTCTCTCTTAAGGAGCATCTTGAGGTGTTTGGTCTCTCTTAAGGAGCATCTTAAGGTGTTTAGTCTCTCTTAAGGAGCATCTTAAGGTGTTTGGTCTCTCTTAAGGAGCATCTTGAGGTGTATAGTCTCTCTTAAGGTGTTTGGTCTCTCTTAAGGAGCATCTTGAGGTGTTTGGTCTCTCTTAAGGAGCATCTTAAGGTGTTTGGTCTCTCTTAAGGAGCATCTTGAGGTGTTTGGTCTCTCTTAAGGAGCATCTTGAGGTGTTTAGTCTCTCTTAAGGTGTTTGGTCTCTCTTAAGGAGCATCTTGAGGTGTTTGGTCTCTCTTAAGGAGCATCTTGAGGTGTTTGGTCTCTCTTAAGGTGTTTTGTCTCTCTTAAGGAGCATCTTGAGGTGTTTTGTCTCTCTTAAGGAGCATCTTGAGGTGTTTGGTCTCTCTTAAGGAGCATCTTGAGGTGTTTGGTCTCTCTTAAGGAGCATCTTAAGGTGTTTTGTCTCTCTTAAGGTGTTTGGTCTCTCTTAAGGAGCATCTTGAGGTGTATAGTCTCTCTTAAGGTGTTTGGTCTCTCTTAAGGAGCATCTTGAGGTGTTTGGTCTCTCTTAAGGAGCATCTTGAGGTGTTTTGTCTCTCTTAAGGAGCATCTTGAGGTGTTTGGTCTCTCTTAAGGAGCATCTTGAGGTGTTTTGGTCTCTCTTAAGGAGCATCTTGAGGTGTTTTGTCTCTCTTAAGGAGCATCTTGAGGTGTTTTGTCTCTCTTAAGGAGCATCTTGAGGTGTTTGGTCTCTCTTAAGGAGCATCTTGAGGTGTTTGGTCTCTCTTAAGGAGCATCTTGAGGTGTTTGGTCTCTCTTAAGGAGCATCTTAAGGTGTTTGGTCTCTCTTAAGGAGCATCTTAAGGTGTTTGGTCTCTCTTAAGGAGCATCTTGAGGTGTTTGGTCTCTCTTAAGGAGCATCTTAAGGTGTTTGGTCTCTCTTAAGGAGCATCTTAAGGTGTTAAGTCTCTCTTAAGGATAATTTTAAGGTGTTTAGTCTCTCTTAAGGATAATCTTAAGGAGAATCTTAAGGTGTTAAGTCTCTCTTAAGGATAATCTTAAAGTGTTTAGTCTCTCTTAAGGAGAATCATACATGTTGTGTATTAACATCAATACAAATATGATCACAAAAAAAAGGAATCCAAAGTACAACATCTAATAAGTTCCCTGTATCAAGATTGATGCAAAACAAGTGACCTTTGACCTTTTTAGAGAGGTTTAGAAAAAAACCCACTTCTGGGGTCATTTGGGTGGATTCTCCATATCTCTGGCCCCCCTTGGTCGACACCTCTTCTTAACCGTTAGAGCCAATAGAATCGAGGGGGAGTTCCTAAAACCCATCTAAACATCACCCATTGGTGAATGAGAGCTGCGCAGCCAGGATGCCCCGGAAGCTGAGCTCTGGTGGCTACCATAGCAGCTCATTTAAAATCTCAGTTTTTGACATAAAAATGGAGATTATGGATTATCAATAATATTGGATTAACCTATGGATTAACCTATGGATTAACCTATGGATTAACCTATGGATTAACCTATGGATTAACCTTCAGCAGCGTTTTTATCGTTTTAATGCCATTGAACACGACTTTTGATCAGAACAACAGCTAAGGTGAGACGATCTCCCGTGAATGCTCCGTAATGCTACGTGTTGTGATGTCTGTGTTTGCTTCCCCTGTTGCGAGTTCTGATCGCTCAGTGATGATACTAATACCTATAGAATCTGTGGAGTCTCAGCTTTAATCGGATATCTTGTTTGTGCAGTTACGATCAGTAATAAGGGTATTTTTACCTTGAGTTCTGTGCTAAGTGTGTTAGCATTTTTTCGCTCAGGGCTCATTTAGACGCTTCTTGTGAGACTTGTGCTTTGTTTCGGTAAAAATGGTTCATATCGTCAGTTAGCTGAGTTTCTTCCCGTTAAGTGAGTATGACACATTAATAGGTTTTTAAATATTAAGATGCCCTGAGACACAGTTTCGTGAAAAAACACCCCGCAGCCCCCTGTAGAGGGGGCTCTCGGGCTTATTAACAGGTTAAGGAGAATCTTAAGGTGTTTAGTCTCTCTTAAGGTGTTTAGTCCCTCTTAAGGAGCATCTTAAGGTGTTTAGTCTCTCTTCCTGACATCTTCCTGGCATGTTCCTGGCATGTTCCTGGCATGTTCCTGACATGTTCCTGGCATGTTTCTGTCATGTTCCCTCTTAAGGAGCATCTTAAGGTGTTTAGTCTCTCTTAAGGAGCATCTTAAGGTGTTTAGTCTCTCTTAAGGAGCATCTTAAGGTGTTTAGTCTCTCTTAAGGGGTTTAGTCTCACCCTCTGCCTCTCTCGGAGCGGCTCTCGATGATCAATCCCTCCACGGCTCCTCCATGGTCCGCCTTCAGCTCCAGAACCTCAGCTAGAGCCACCGTGGCCTCGGCCAGCTCCATCAGGTTATCACCCTGACAACAACAACAACAACAACAAGATAAGATAAGATAAGATCAGAAGTACTTTATTGAAAATGTTTGCGTTGCAGCAGCATAAAAAGACAAGGCATTGAACATTAGAGAAATTAAAGACTAGAAATAAACAATCCAACATGTAAACATCTCAAATAGAAATAAAATAGCATTAAAAAAAAGTAATGTCATCGTGTGACATCACTGTGACATCACTGTGACATCACTGTGACATCACTGTGACTCACCTTCAGAGCTGAGACGTGGATGGCCTGAACGTCTCCTCCGAACTCCTCACAAACCACATCGTGAGCCAGGAGCTCCTGCTTCACCTTCTGAGGGTCCGACTGGCGCTTATCACACTTATTCACCGCCACGATCATCGGCACTGAAACATAGTGAAGACATGAGAGAGATATGAGAGAGACATGAGAGAGACATGAGAGAGACATGAGGAAACATGAGACAGACATGAGAGAGACATGAGAGAGACATGAGAGAGACATGAGAGAGACATGAGACATGAGAAAACATGAGAGAGACATGAGAGAGACATGAGAGAGACATGAGAGAGACATGAGAGAGACATGAGACATGAGAAAACATGAGAGAGACATGAGAGAGACATGAGAGAGACATGAGAGAGACATGAGACATGAGAGAGACATGAGACATGAGAAAACATGAGAGAGACATGAGGAAACATGAGAGAGACATGAGAGAGACATGAGAGACATGAGAGAGACATGAGAGAGACATGAGACATGAGAAAACATGAGAGAGACATGAGAGACATGAGAGAGACATGAGAGAGACATGAGACATGAGAAAACATGAGAGAGACATGAGGAAACATGAGAGAGACATGAGAGAGACATGAGAGACATGAGAGAGACATGAGAGAGACATGAGACATGAGAAAACATGAGAGAGACATGAGAGACATGAGAGAGACATGAGAGAGACATGAGACATGAGAAAACATGAGAGACATGAGAGAGACATGAGAGAGACATGAGACATGAGAAAACATGAGAGAGACATGAGACAGACATGAGAGAGACATGAGAGAGACATGAGAAAACATGAGAGAGACATGAGAGAGACATGAGAGAGACATGAGAGAGACATGAGACATGAGAAAACATGAGAGAGACATGAGAGAGACATGAGAGAGACATGAGACATGAGAAAACATGAGAGAGACATGAGAGAGACATGAGGAAACATGAGACAGACATGAGGAAACATGAGACAGACATGAGAGAGACATGAGAGAGACATGAGAGAGACATGAGGAAACATGAGACAGACATGAGGAAACATGAGACAGACATGAGAGAGACATGAGAGAAACATGAGAGAAACATGAGAGAGACATGAGGAAACATGAGAGAGACATGAGGAACATGTTCCTGACATGAGGAACATGTCAGGAACATGTCAGAAACGTGTCAGAAACGTGCCAGAAACATGCCAGGAACATGTCAGGAACATGCCAGAAACATGTCAGACACATGTCAGACACATGTCAGAAACGTGCCAGAAACATGTCAGAAACAGGTCAGGGACATGTCAGCGACATGTCGGGAACATACCGGGAACATGTCGGGAACATGTCAGGAACATGCCAGGAACATGCCAGAAACATGTCAGACACATGTCAGAAACATGTCAGGAACATGCCAGACACATGTCAGGAACATGCCAGAAACATGCCAGGAACATGTCAGGAACATGTCAGAAACATGTCAGGAACATGCCAGACACATGTCAGGAACATGCCAGAAACATGCCAGGAACATGCCAGACACATGCCAGAAACATGCCAGGAACATGTCAGACACATGTCAGAAACATGTCAGAAACATGCCAGACACATGTCAGGAACATGCCAGAAACATGCCAGAAACATGCCAGGAACATGTCAGGAACATGCCAGGAACATGCCAGGAACATGTCATGTACCTCCCGCCCTCTTGGCGTGTTGGATGGACTCCACCGTCTGGTTCATCACGCCGTCGTCAGCGGCAACCACCAGAACGATGATGTCAGTGGCGTCGGCACCGCGGCCTCTCATCGACGAGAAGGCAGCGTGACCAGGTGTGTCCAGGAAGGTGATCCTCTCACCTGTAGGGAGCTGGACTGAGGGGGGAGAGAGAGAGAGGGTGTGTAAGTAAGTAAGTAAAACTTTATTTATATAGCAGCACCCTTCTCAACACGAATGTACAAAGTGCTTTACAGTACAGTACACAGGACACAATTCAAAGTGCAACTATAAAATGTAGAATAAAAGGCATAAAACACAGCAGGTAACACATAGGATAAAACACCAATGAAAGACAGCTACTAACTCACCTCCTCCGGCGACCCAAAGGCCTGTCGGAAAAGGTGGGTCTTTAACTGCCCCTTAAAAATCTCTATTGAGGCAGAGGCTCTTAGTGTCTGGGGGAGTTTGTTCCAAAGCCTTGGGGCCACCACCTCAAAGGCACGGCCCCCCTTAGTCTTTAGCCTGGTTCGGGGCACCCTTAGGAGGCCTTGCTCAGAGGACCTCAGGGCCCGGGTTGTGCTGTGAGGGTGGATCAGGTCATTGATGTAGGCTGGGGCTTGGCCATGGACAGCTCTATAAGTGAAGACCAATACTTTGAATTGGGTTCTGAGATGGACAGGGAGCCAGTGCAGGGCAGAAAGGATCGGAGTGATGTGGCATGTTTTTTTGGACCGAGTGAGCAATCTGGCTGCAGCATGTTGGACCTGTTGTAACCGGTTTATTGATGTTTGGTTGAGGCAGGAGAACAGAGCATTACAGTAATCAAGCCGGGATGAAATAAAGGCATGGATAGCCATCTCCAGTTCTGTGTTTGATAGAACCCCCCTGAGCTTGACAATGTTTCTGAGATGGAAAAAACAGGTACGGGTCAGAAGTTTGATGTGTTTGTCTAGTAGCATAGACTGATCGAAAGTTACACCAAGGTTTTTGATGTTTGCCCTTATGTTACCACTGAAAGAACCCAGGTGGCTTGCTACCTTAGAGGCGATGTTATCAGCCGCTAAGATCAAGACTTCCGTTTCTGATGCATTGAGCTGTACGAAGTTGCTTGACATCCACTCATTAATTGCAGACAGACATGTGATGAGGGTTTTGACGGGTTTGAAAGAGAAGTATATCTGGATATCATCTGCATAACAGTGATACGAGACACCCTCAAATTGGCTAATTAAGCGGCCCAATGGGAGCATGTACAGGGCAGAAAGAAGGGGGGCTAAAACACAGGGTTCTTACACCTTTTCCAAAGTCAAATTCAAGCACTTTTCAAGCATTTTCAAGGTGCATTTTCAAGCTTTTCAAGCATCTTACAGCTGTTATATATTTATATACACATACTTATACTCAAATGATTATTTCACTACCTCACATTAAATCAGATGTTCTTTATGCTATAAACAACCAAATGTGTGTTTCATAATAGCATTCTACATGAGGATGAACAATTAAAAATGTTAGAAAAGAAAACTAAGTTTAATATTTCAAAATGAGACCCATCTGTACGTAGACTGGGCATCCCATATAACCTGGCTGAGCCAATATAAAACAATCAGCCAAATAACTTTTCAATATATTATTGATTACTATTTTGAGGTACTTTTAGGTTGGCAGTAAACACAAGTAAGTACAGTAGGTAAATGGTGTACTTGTACTCCACTACAGTTCAGAGGTACATGGTGTACTTCTACTCCACTACAGTTCAGAGGTACATGGTGTACTTCTACTCCTCTACAGTTCAGAGGTACATGGTGTACTTCTACTCCTCTACAGTTCAGAGGTACATGGTGTACTTCTACTCCTCTACAGTTCAGAGGTACATGGTGTACTTCTACTCCACTACAGTTCAGAGGTACATGGTGTACTTCTACTCCTCTACAGTTCAGAGGTACATGGTGTACTTCTACTCCTCTACAGTTCAGAGGTACATGGTGTACTTCTACTCCACTACAGTTCAGAGGTACATGGTGTACTTCTACTCCTCTACAGTTCAGAGGTACATGGTGTACTTCTACTCCACTACAGTTCAGAGGTACATGGTGTACTTCTACTGCACTACAGTTCAGAGGTAGATGGAGTACTTCTACTCCTCTACAGTTCAGAGGTACATGGTGTACTTCTACTCCTCTACAGTTCAGAGGTACATGGTGTACTTCTACTCCTCTACAGTTCAGAGGTACATGGTGTACTTTTACTCCTCTACAGTTCAGAGGTACATGGTGTACTTTTACTCCACTACAGTTCAGAGGTACATGTTGTACTTCTACTCCTCTACAGTTCAGAGGTACATGGTGTACTTCTACTCCTCTACAGTTCAGAGGTACATGGTGTACTTCTACTCCACTACAGTTCAGAGGTACATGTTGTACTTCTACTCCACTACAGTTCAGAGGTAGATGGTGTACTTCTACTCCACTACAGTTCAGAGGTACATGGTGTACTTGTACTCCACTACAGTTCAGAGGTACATGGTGTACTTCTACTCCTCTACAGTTCAGAGGTAGATGGTGTACTTCTACTCCTCTACAGTTCAGAGGTACATGGTGTACTTGTACTCCACTACAGTTCAGAGGTACATGGTGTACTTCTACTCCTCTACAGTTCAGAGGTACATGGTGTACTTGTACTCCACTACAGTTCAGAGGTACATGGTGTACTTCTACTCCTCTACAGTTCAGAGGTACATGGTGTACTTCTAACTCATCTACAGTTCAGAGGTACATGTGTAACTTCTAACTCCCTCCTCTAACATTTCAGAGGTTTACATGGGTTGTACTTCTCTTCCACGTACGTTCAGAGTTACATGGTGTACTTCTACTCCTCTACAGTTCAGAGGTACATGGTGTACTTCTACTCTTCCACTACAGTTCAGAGGTACATGGTGTACTTCTACTCCTCTCAACGTTCAGAGGTACATGTGTGTCCTTTCTACTTACTCCTCTACAGTTCAGAGGTACAACTGTGGTTCTCGACTGCACTAACGTTCAGAGGTAGATGGTGTACGTGTATCCATTACTACAGTTCAGAGTACATGGTGTACTTGTACTTCCAACTACATGTAGTTTATACCTTGTTAGTTACTTCCAAGATGTGGATGAATGATGTGAAATATAATCAAGTGTTAATCAGACGTTAGTTCCACCGTGGAGTAAAAGCCACAAGCTACCCTGCAGTATACAAAGTCATTCAGACTAGCTGCACCTTTACCAGCTTTGAGAACACTTTCATGATCAATCATTATAAAACATATCATATACAATTATTAGGGATGCTCCGATCGCCAATTTTGGAGCCGATCGCCGGAATCAGTATCGGCCGATACCGCTCTCTTTTCCTCTCTCCCCCTCTCTCTCTCCCTCTCCCTCTCTCTCTCTCTCTCTCTCTCTCCTGACAGCCCGTCAGTATCTCCTGCAGCTCACTGATCCAGTAATGAGCGACCCGACAGTGAAGAATAAATATATGTATAACTAGTTTAGCTTGTTCCAGAGGTAGATCAAATAGCTAAGTGTGTTAGGTCTAACTCTTAATGTGTGTTCTGCTCCGCTCACCGGTCCGTCACAGCGGGTGGAGCTGCAGGATTTCTGCTTCACACACACGTTGCATACCGCTATTTTATTGTCATTTTCGGACACTTAAAATACTGCCAGACTAGTGAAGCCATTTTGGCGAGCTTGTTTTGCCGCGCACAGAGAAAAGTGTCATGTATTTTACATGCAACGATAGCCTAATCTAAAATGCTCTACTCTGGCGTACCTTTCGTGTGGTGTGTGGCTCGTCAGCGCAGACTCTCGCATCGTTATTGTTGCACACTTTGCAGGAGGCTACTCTTGGGCTTGACCCTCGTCTTAGCCATGGCTTGTATTTGTCTTCTGCTAGCCAACGCTCGTTGAAACGGCAACCTCCTGGCATACTGTCATCTATCACTCTCATCAGAATGCCCAGGTCACACACGTAACAAAAACACTTGCCGGTCACGCGCATAGCGCGGGACGGCCGGAGCGGAGCTGTTTTATGTAAAAGCGAAGCAATTAAGCGCGCTCCGACTTCTTTATTTTCTTTTAATCTAAAAAGCGAAGTAAAGCATTTACAATTTCAAGCACTTTATCCCAAATTCAAGCACCATTCCCAAAATTCAAGCACTTTTCAAACCTTGAAAACACCTCGTACAATTTCAAGCATTTTCAAGGATTTCCAGCACCCGTACGAACCCTGAAAACAGAACCCTGGGGCAGGCCGCAGGATAGGGGAGTGCTGTGTGATGAGAACGGGCCCACCGCCACGGAGAAACTTCTCCCACTGAGGTACGAGGCAAACCACTGGAGGGCAGACCCTGAGATGCCTACCCACTCCCTGAGTCTATCTAGCATGATGGCGTGGTCCACTGTGCCAAACGCTGCACTCAGGTCCAACACCATCATGTTAGGGTTAGGGTCATGATGTCATTGGAGACCCTGAGGAGAGCTGATTCTGTGGAGTGGTGTTTTCTGAAACCTGATTGGAATTTGTCATGGATGTTATTCTTATTCAGAAATGTATTGAGTTGATTAGCAACAACTTTTTCTAAAACCTTTGACACAAATGGGAGCTTTGAGATGGGCCTGTAATTAATCGGGAGGGAGGGATCTAGATTGGGTTTTTTGAGAAGGAGCCAGAGACAATGGAGATGTTTATAATGTGGAGCGACACATGAAAAAACTTCTGTTAGCATGGACGTTAAAGCATCCAGAGGGCTTGAGGAGGATTTCATAGCGCTCACTACAGCGGTCAGGTCGGCTATGGTGATGCAGGAGAAATGACTCAGCGTGGCCTGCCTCACTGGACAGATAGGGAGGGGGGAGTGGGAGGGGGTGATGCTCGACCTCACATCAGCTACCTTGTTTACAAAAAAGGTGAGAAAACGGTCGCAGTCGTCATTTGAATAAATAGGAATTGAGGGGGTGGACGGGTTTACAAACGTATTTATGGTTTTAAAGAGTACTCTGGGGTTGTGCTTACTAGAGGAGATGAGGTTAGAGAAATAGGTAGCCCGGGCCTTTTTAATCAAATTGTTATAATCACAGTAAAGGTCCGTGTGTGTGTGTGTGTGTGTGTGTGTGTGTGTGTGTGTGTGTGTGTGTGTGTGTGTGTGTGTGTGTGTGTGTGTGTGTGTGTGTGTGTGTGTGTGTGTGTGTGTGTGTGTGTGTGTGAGTGTGTGTGTGTGTTGTGTGTGTGTGTGTGTGTGTGTGTTACCCAGGAATGCTCCTATGTGTTGTGTTATCCCTCCAGCTTCACTCAGCACCAGCTGACTCTTCCTCAGTGAATCCAGCAGGGTGGTCTTCCCGTGGTCCACGTGCCCCATGATGGTCACTACAGGGGGGCGGGGCTTCAGCCGGGAGGGGTCGACGGGCCTGAGGTCAGGGGTCAGAGGTCAGGTGGTACAGAGGTCAGGTGGTACAGAGGTCAGGTGGTACAGAGGTCAGGTGTGTGATGTGACTTCCTGTGAGCGTACTTCCTGTGAGCGTCCCTGTTGGGTCTCTCCCGACTCTCGCTCAGTTTCTCCCATCTGAACTTCATCCCGGAGCGGGTCACCACCTCTTTGATCCATTGCTCCTTCAGAACCGAGTCCGGACCCAGAGAGTCAGGGTCCACGGCCGTGTTGCGCAGAGCCTGCAGGACGTGCTCTGGGGAC